GCTCTGCTCTGATTGGATAAAACGGCTCTGGACTTCATCTGATTTGTTGAAGACAGTGTCTGTTTAATCCTTATATCAGGGTCCCGCAGCTCCCGCCATCCATAGAGGCTTTGTGAGCACCGAACAACAATCCAGTCACACCAGTGTAGCTGGATTATTATTATTTTTTTTTTTTTTTTAAGAAATCAGGTCGCATTTGTGACCAAACTGGTCGCACTCTAGAGCCCTGCTAGCTGTTGTTGACAGACAATCAGGTACAACCTTAGGTACGCAAGTGAGCTTTATGACATTCCATCTGGTGCGCTTTTTCCTTCTTTGTCCGCGCATGCGCACCTGCGCACCGCTTATGTGCAACTCTGCGTATAACAACAGCAGCAGTTGTATTTTTCACACCAGAGTCAGGAGGAAGGAATTGTTTTTGTTACTTGTTAACTGTGGAGACGAAAAGAAGACGTTCACTTGCTCCTACATCCATCTTGCTAATTTAACAATCAGCTTCTGCTCTTGGAGCACAGTGGATCTTTTTCAACACATGAAAGTTCACATGTATGGCAGGCCATTTTTACATTTAATCAGCTTCACCACACTTGCATTCCAGATTGAAGAAATTGGTTTATGACTAGACATATTAGTTATTTCAGATAGATATATAACTAATGAAAATTAATTTGCAGACTTTTTCATGTTCTGTAAGATTTATTTAAAACAAAGCTGCACTCTTTTAAGAAATACTAGTAACGGTAATTTGGTGTTCAACCTCACCCCTCACTCTCCCAAGGCCAATACTTTTAAGGGGAAAACACTCAAGTTTAAAGCTTCTTATTGACTGACAATACAAAAAAACTGTTTTTATAGTATATTTGATAAAAGCCCTCAGAAACTTTAGTCCAACAACTAGAGCCAAATTGGTTTTATTTTGGTGAAAAATCGTGTCTTACTTTTTGAGATCCTCCTCCAGCTCTTTGGTTTTCTCCTCCAGCTTGTTCTTGGCCTGCAGCAGAGCCTCCAATTCCCCCTGCAGCATCTCCTTCTCACAGGTCAACTCGTCCACTCTCAGGATCAGGTCTTTGTTTACCACATTCAAGGCATTCCTAAAAAGTCAGAAAAGACATTTACCAAAATCACAACACATTCAAATGAAAACAATAAAAACAGTAGAGTTAGAACATCGATGCTCACTTTGTTTCAAGCAGCTGTGAATTCTCCTGGATAAGATTTTCCACTTCCCGACCCATTCCTGAAGAGGAGTGAAAGCAAAACGAGACTTTTATTTGAGGAAGGAAAGAAAAATTTGTGACACATTCAAGCTATGACTACATTAGCACTATAGAGATTAAGTCATACTATCATTAGACATCCAACGTGGCACAAAGATGCCAAATAGCTCTTAGGGAGATATTTGTTACTGCAGGTTTCACAGCAAAACAAACTACTACAACAAAACAGACTCACAGCACACGTCACATGACCGACAAGAGAGGAATGAGGAGAGWGGGTGAGCTTCTTACCAATCAAACTAAGGTCTGAGAAAACCATGCAATCCAAGCCAGGCGGAAGAGTACGACAGAGAGAAAGAGGGAAAGAAATATGGATATAGTTTGAGACAGTGAAATGACCCAAATAATGAAGGAGCCAGAGCTGAATGTGAAGCAGCTGACTCAAAAAGCTGCAAAAATTGACAGCAGTTAAATACAAGGAGAATCCAACAAGGGTTTAAAGAAAATTGTTCCCTAAAAAGAACAATTACAGCTGCAAAGGAAACTTTAAAAATCATCATCCATGCGTAAAACCATGTCAAAGAAAATGCTGGAGAACAATAAGTTGTGCATTAACCACTTCTATCAAACATAAAGATGAAGAAGCTTTGAGGTGGGTTATGGAATAGGGTGAAAAATGACTTAAAGAGATACCACAGGAAAAAAAAGTTAAGATTGAGATTTGAGGTCATACACACCAGAGTACTCCACTGGATTTATGGACAAAAGCCAGAGAATGAGATAGAGGAGAGAAAAGAGGTGATGTTAACATGGGCGCAGGGCTAACAGAGCACAACATCAGCACAAAGAGTGGCGTGGCAGTGAGGAGCAGGAGCTGGAGTTACAGTGATGTTACTATCAGCATCTGCTGCTGGTGRTCATATTACTGCTGCAAATATGGCAGTCAAAGCTTCAGTAAAACAGACTGATGGATGGGGGRAAAAAGCACAGAAAAATCAGTAACTGCAAAGTGAATCAATTTCTTTTTGCATATACGGGTCCTTCTCAAAAAATTAACATATTGTGATAAAGTTCATTATTTTCTGTATTGTACTGATAAACATTAAACTTTCATATATTTCAGATTCATTGCACACCAACTGAAGTAGTTCAAGCCTTTTATTGTTTTAATATTGATGATTTTGGCAAAAAAGTAAAGAAAAAGCAAAAATCCCCATCTCAAAAAATTAGCCCCATTTCAGGTTTTAGCAAGTCAAATTCAAGACTTTTTAAGACCTTTTTAATACCACCTTGAATGAAATTTAAGACCGAAAATATAAGCAATGGTTCGGGAATTCTACTGTATTACAACCAAGCACATGTTGGTCACTCAATAAAAATCATTGAATATAAAGATATTCAGCTCTCTGGCTAAATTAGCTGTACTTTACAAGCGCAATTATTTGGCTGGAAACAGCCAACATAAATACATCTACTAAATACATTCATGGCATAAAACTTGTGTTTTAACCTCCAGTTTTGCCTTTATACAAAAATAAACCA